GTACACTCTAAAAAATGCTGGGTTAAAAATAACCCAGCATTTTGTAGAGTGTAGAAAGTGACATTATCACTAACATTGATCTATCGCGAGTTTAAGCACTCTCAAAAAAACAAAACTATCGTTATAATCAGTGAAGCTGTATACACTGAGAATCCGCAAGAGTCTGGAATTCAGTCAGTGAATGCGCGCGCGTGCACTCAACAAAACGGATCTGTTTCAACGATGACTCATCTGAACGCCTCTGATTGGCCATTGCATTCCTAAGATCAACAGAACTGTGTGTGATTGGTTCAAATGCGCAATACTGTAAAAACGCCTAAAATGTCTACACTGTCTATTCATATTCACTTTGTTAGCAACAGACGTAATAGAGTTAATTTATTTGTGCAGGGGCATTTTTGTCCAATTTAATGCCATTTTTGCCCCAAGTCCCCGTGGCCAGCCTATGGCTGTCCTGCAGAGTTTTGCTCCAACCCTAATCAAACACACCTGAAGAAGCTAATCAAGGTCTTCAGGATTACAGAGGCTTCAGGCAGGTGAGGTTTTTTTCAGGGTTGGAGCAAAACTCTGTAGGACAGCGGCTCTCTAGGACTGAACTCGCCTACCTCTGGTGCAGAATATATATTCCTCCTTCAATAAAGTCGTCACCTTGGTTATTAGACTAAAATAAAAAAAATAAAAAAAGTTACTTAAAATAAAATACAAAAAAATTAAACTTAACTTATTTTTCTTTTATCTATGCCAAAGCAACATTTCTCATTTTCATTTAGTTTAACTTGATGTACTAAAACAATTAAAACTAAAGCTGAAATAAAAGTTAATAAAAACTATATAAACATATTTTAAAAATACATCACTCTCTCATTTTTGTGTCATGTTTTGGTCACCACATTATTTTCCCGTGTGCACATGTGTGTTATTTAGTGTCTTTGCTATTTAAAAATGTGGAAAATAGATGTATTCTCACAGATTGTGTAGTTTAAATAAAAAAAAAATTACATTTAAAAAAACGTTTACATAAATACAAATGGAAACAATGTAATATTGTTTTGTTGTCAGACAATGAATGTAAATCAGTTTTACATTCATTCTAATTCTGAACTTCTAATTAAGTAACTAAGAAAGTTCAGTAATCGCACATCTGTCATGAAAGGAAGACAGCTTCATGTAGGCCATTTTAAGGGGGAAATATTTTACAGAAAAACAAAGGGGAAGTTAGTTAACATATCATTTGACCTATTCATGTTCATTCATAGTGTTAAATGCACTCTTTTGGCTTAACAAAATTAGAAGAAAAAAAATTAACAACAGTTTGCATCAGTCTTTTTGATTTAAGATGGCTTCTAATGAAATTATAGTCAACCAACAAACTACATTGAGTTAGAGGAACTTCGTAATTTGTAGCATAAACA